AGGCAGTGTTTCAAATAGGGTGTAGCTCAAGGAACAAAGGGCGTCAGAAAAAAGGAATTAAACTCTCGCAAGTGAAGGAGTTATCTCCTTACCAAGCAACTGGCATCAGGCGCAATTCCACGTCAATCTTCATTCCTCTCTTTCAAGCAAGGGCTTTTAGTTACACCCTTTCTCCTGCCTAATAAGAGAGTCAACCTGCTCCTGTTTGCTTCTTGCGCAGATGGACAGCCGCAACCATGCAGCTCCCTTCACCCCTGCCTTGGCAAGATGTGAGATGGCAAAAGAGGTCAAACAGCAAAAGCTGCCGGGAGGGATTTCAGGAAGACAGTTGGTCGTCCACCATGATCTGCAGAACCTTTTAATCCTGGATCTGAAGGAAGCCACCCTTTCAGACCCCACCTCGGCGCACCTCCTTAGATGGCTGAACTGGGGTGCCGTCTTCGCAGAAGGCAATATACCGCCGGTTGGCTCAATCGGCGAGTTGGTACTCCACTTGCATAGCGAAGCACTTTGTTTCATCCCTGCTGCGAGGCAGCAATCTGAAGCTGCTTTTTGGGTTATCGAAGTGGACCGCTAGGCAGCTATACTCCGCTTCTGGTATTGGGCTAGGATACGATGGACGCTATGGCTGCACGATCTCTGGACCAGATTCCGCGGGGCCTCACCCGATCCCCGGTTGTCTACGATGGCCAGCATTTCGAGGAAACTAAGGCCTTTCACAAGCTGGCCTTCTTGGCTTGGGGGCTTGTACTGGTGGATGGGATGGTACCAGCGAATAGGTCGGGAAGGCAACCGGTAATGGACACCCTGGAGGTGGAGGCCCTTTGGAGCCTGTTCGGAAGAATGGAATTTTCTAGGGCCTCTCCCTGCACTTTGGTGCACACCCTGTTGGAGGTTCTCGCCGGGTTATCAGATGAAGGAGCTAAAGTGGCTGAAATGAAGGTGTGGCTGGAGGAAGGGCCTGCAGAATGGATAAGCAGAATCCTGGGGAAGACAGAGGCAGCCAGGATGGTTCATCGCAACGAGATAACCATCGCAAGTAACTGATCGTAGAAGAAGAAGAGGTAGGTGGTAGTGAGCAGGAGAAAGGAGGAAAGAGGAAAGGTAAGGATGAGTAAGGGGAGGAGGAGAAGAGTAGTTTAGTGGCCTGCGTAAGAAGAGAGCTGGTGTAGTTTGGGTAACTAGCTAGCGCAGACCCCTAAAAAAAAAAAAAAAAAAAAAAAAAAGGAAAAAAATAAAGATTTACATATAATAGAAAGAGTAAGGAAAGGAGGAAGGTGAGGGGAAGATGACGGAAGGAAAGCAGGAGAAAAGGAAAAGGGGAACTAGGAAGGAGGTGAAAGGAAGGGAGGAATGGGGAAGGCATTAAAAAAAAAAGAAAAAAAGAAAAAAAGAAGGAAAAGAGGAGAGAGAAAGGGAGAAGGAGAAGAGGAGGAGAGAACTGTTCTCCAATCAGTCTTTGCTAAGGCTCAGGTGAGGGTAGGGTCTAAGAAGGAGGGGGGAAAGGAGGAAGTTCAACTTGCCACTCCACGATAAGAAAAAAAAAAAAAAAAAAAAAAGGAGCTAAGATTATCTAGGAGTAGGCTTTCCATTAGAACGTTTTCGGTGGGTCTCATCTGTGGGAAAGGACGAGCTGCCTGTTAGACGGGGTTTATGGTTACACCTACCTGAACTACCCTGGCTCTGATAGTTAGCAGTTGTTGGTAAAAGATTTCGACGACTCAGGGCTTTGAGTAAGAGGTTTTCTAGTTTTCATCGGGGAAATTTGGAGCTTTGAAAGCTTGTTTTATCACCTTTTGTAAGGATTCGCATGTGCTAAGCAGCTAATTCCACTTGCCAAGTTAGGGTTCTCTCGGCCTACCAAGGTGGTCACTATTCTAGTTAGGAGCATCTGAGATGACTGCGGCAATTTCAAACTCTTCTGGGGAAAAGGGCTGCTATTTGTTCATGAAAATCTGGAATTATGTAATCTTGTTAAAATCGGCTCTCCATGGTTCTAGAGATTGTAGGATTAAAGGCAGTTTTGTCATATTTTCATATGAAAGCCTTGGTGCACCAAGGACGAAGTCTGGTCTCTTGCCAGATTCCACCTAAAACATAGGATTCGTGAAAACCTAACAAAACAAATTGTTAGCTTTGCACGAAAATTTTCAAAGATTCTCGTAGTACGTTTTTCAGGCCTCCTACATCAACAAAATTCTAGGTGAAGTTAAAGATCCGCAAAAAATGGAATAAAAAAGTACTTTTTCAAAACCACTCGAAGTGGTGAGGAGAAAAGCAAGTTTTTTACAGAAAATCACTACCTTTCAAAACACTGTTTCTTCATGAACCAAAATATTCCTTTTTTTTTTTAATCTACTAAAGAAATTATATTTATAGTTCTATAAGGTATGCAACACGATGAACGTAGTGGAGGGTCTCCCAAACACGTCATATGTTGTCCTTTTCATGAATACGTTCGCTTGAATATGTTCTCTCATACATGAACGAATATATTATTTTTTATTAAAATATTTTATCATTGCTTAATTTTAGATCGTGGTTGGTTAAGAATTTGAAGATGTTTCCGAGGCAAAAGTTGTTTGAATTCGTCTTTTACATAACATATATTTTTTTGACAAGGGTTTTACAGTAGCCTCAAAAAGTGACTTATATGATTTATAGATCTATAAATTAATTTTCACAGATTTTTGTTCTTACCAAGTACTGAAAATGACTTATAGTTCTATAAATAAGTATTCACTAAAACTGTTTTTTTTTTTACATATTTCGAGTTTTTAAAGATTGTCTTGTTTACGCTCTGTTTTTTGTCAATCTACTAAGAACAATTTATAGTCCTATAACACGCTCTTTGCTAAAAATGATTTTCTTGCATATTTTAAGAATTGCTAAACTTTTTGCCCGTTTTTTTGCATCCTTTCTCGGGACATAGTTAAAAATATTATTTTTTTCTGTGTCAAAAGTAACAGTTTGATGTTGTACTTTTTCATTCTATAAAAAATGTTAGGTTTTGTTGTTTTGTTAGGTTTTCATCAATTCGGTGTTCTAAGCTCTGAGCATTGGAAGCCTCAGTAACGAAATTTTTTAAGGGGGGGGAGGGGCCTAATTAAATGATGTACTGACTATCCTCCTGGTTTCTAGGAAATATTTGTCCCTTCTGCTTTATTGCCTTCTGAATGCAAAAAAAAAAAAAAAAAAAAAGATGGAGGAAGTAGGAAGGGGCTGAGGGTCAAGGAAGGGGGAAAAGGGGAAAGAGGCCAAAAAAGGGGAGGGTGAAGAAAGGGGGACGGAAAAGGAAGAGAAGAAACAAGTTAACTTCAGAAACTCTGCCTGCTGTCCCTTCAGAGGTAGAGGTCCTATATGGCTAATCACTTGCAAGTTAGAAATTCAGTCCTCAAACTCCGGGACTACCCATCCTGGCATAACCGTTCCCTATTGTTTTAACAGCTACACGGCTTTAATGGCTTTCGCCCAGTTGTGTATGATGGTTCAGGGTGCTCCTACGATATAATATTGTCATTTTCCCTGAACAAGAGTAAGATCAACTAGACCCTAGTCAATTCGAGCCTCAACAATTACTTTGAACTTTTACTCTTAGGGTCTGTCTTGAGGAAGAAAGCGGGAGCGGTTGGGGGGAAGGGGTTAGTGGGACGGGAGGGGAAAGGGAGGGGAAGAAGGGAAACCAGTATTAAAAAAAAAAAAAAAAAGATTGGTTAAGTTCTCAGCAGCTTGGGAAATTGAGTTTTTGTCTTAAAGTGCATCAAGGGATTGAAATGTTGCAGTCTGCACCTTTACCAACCCTAAAAAAAAAAAAAAAAAAGGAACCCCGTTGTTAACATGGTAATCTTGATTTCTTGTCCCTAACCCGCACCAGAGAGAATAATGCAAGGTATCTGGTAACAAGACCCCCCTTTTTTTTTGAATCCTTTGCAATGGAGTCAGGTAATTCAGTTGCTCAAAAAGTAAGGATGGCGGGAGAAGCTGTGGAAATGTCGAATTTTGTAGTTTAAGCCTGCTGATTCGGCCCGACTTGGGCCGTGAAAGGCGAAATTAGAGTATTAATTAAAGGGGAATGGGAGGAAAGGGGGAGGTTGGTTTTTGCTTCCAGAAACTATTTAGCAGGTAGTAGGTAGGCTCATGTTGGCTATCAACCTTGCGCTGAAACCCAGTCCGCACCCTTTTGCTCGGCAGGTTATTTTCACCCATTATTTGCAGGTCCTAAACTGCCTTATAGGTTAATTCACTCTCACAAGCTTGGTCTATTTTTCAGAACTGGAAAACCCTTACCGTAAGTAATCCCTTGTTTAAGGCTAAGATGGGACAGGTGAAGCAGTGTAAGGAAGTAGCAGGGAGCCTGTTAAAATTTTTAGAGGCCCCTTTGATTTAAATTAAAAGGCCGGATGGGGGGAGGCCAGGAAGGAGAGAGGTTGTGTATTCATGATATCTATTTAAAAAAAAAAAACAAAAAAAAAAACGGGGGGGAATAATCTGCTGGCTATTTCTGATTGATTGAGTTTTCATTAGGTTCTGGCTGCTTTGTTGCAGGAGATCATGGACCGGGAAGTGTGAGAGCTTTACTGTGCAGGAGGAGCTTTGGCACTGGTTGGAAAGGAACTGTTTATGCCCCTGTGCTTCCCATCCCTCAGAATGGTTCGGGCTTATGTTCAGGATTGTACTAACCCACTGGAAGAAGACCCATATAAACTAGTCTTTACTATGACCAACAATGGAATATGTTACCCGGTTCCCCTCCACCTCCTAAGAACCAGCCTTCCCCACCAGTATCCCCAACCCCCTTACCAACTCCAGATGCCATCAGAACTCCCTTATGCTATCTCGTTCGACCCCCAAAACCCCGCAAAGGAAGACTCGGTCCAGGCCTCAACTTCCAGGAGGAATTCAGTCTCCTGGGAGGATGTCAAACTCCTGCAAGGGAGGCTGCACCTTAAGATTCAAATGCATCAAGCAGACCTGAATCAGGTCAAGGGTATTTTCGACAGGGTCATCACCACCTTGGACAAGAGCAGAGCAGCTCAGGAAGAGGCCAAGTCACTGCAGCTTATTTTTTATCAGTCGTCTTGGCGCAGGCACATCGCTATTATGATCAGGGCAAAGCAGATAGAGCTGAATTACAAGCACTTTGAAAAACACAAACCAACAGCTAGCGCTTTCAGGAATGCCCTAGCTGGATTGGCGGATGAACTCTGTGATAAGAGATGTCCTGAGGATGTAAAGACCATGATGAAGACTCTGAAACTTGACACGGCTTTTCTGGCTCTGTCCAAGATAAACAGCGAATGGGACCAGCAAGAGAACAAGGCGGCGATCAGAAGCGGGTAAGTGGCAGCGGTATTCGCTGACCTCAATTCTATCCTAAGTAGCCAAGCTATTTATCAAAGGACCTTTAGGGGAGGTTAATCTGACCTCCTCACGCCTTTTGTTGCGGTGGTGCCTTTTAACTTGCTTAACTAATTATGCCAGTCAGATCAGACGACTTAGGTACGCATTAACTGATTGTTCTGTTGCAGGTACAGAGGATCTGATCTGGCAAGAAGCTCAAGGCACAGAAGCCCGCAAAGCAATAGGAGCCCATCAAGAAGCTACTATCACCATAGCAGCAGGCGTTCCCCTGGTCAGTCAGGCAGGAAAGAATGGCATCACAGATCGAGATCCCCGAAGTACTCAAAGCCTTAAACTCTTTGCCCTTAGCCGCTCAAGTCTCTTATGCTTTTCACATGTTGCAGAACAGGTCTCCGTGGTGGGTCAGTCCGGAATCTTTCAGAGCGGCAGAACCAACCAGACACTTGGCAGCCTGGAAAGCACTCTTGGGCTCTTCCAAGAGGAAGCACTCCAGGAATGTTCTGAATTGGCTTGAGCATGGAGTACGACTAAATTTCTCAGGCACTGGGCATCAGCCTAGGTCCAAGATTGACGAGGTACGGAGGATGGTCAAACCGGTCTTCAAGGCAGCAGAATTTAGGAAGTGCTTGAGATTAGAGGAACCTTCCCCGATATCGCTTCCTAACTATCAACTGCCCCCTCATTTTGCAGATTTTGTCAGTAGCAGCGTTGACCAGATGTTATCTCACGGAGTGATATCAGAAACAGATTCAGCCCTGGTAGTCAACCCGGTCTTTGTTATTGAAAGTTCCAGAAGCTTCGTTTTATTATTGACTTGCGCTACGTCAATCTTTTTATCAGTTTTCCGGAGTTTCACTATGAGTCAATAGATGATGTGGTAGCAGTCATGGATGGTCATGGTCTCCAAAATTTTGCAGTCACTTTTGATGTAAAGAACAACTACTACCACATCCCGGTCCATGAATTGTCCAAACCATACCTGGCTTTCCAATGGGGAGGAAGAACCTTCCGGTTTAATGCCTTGTGCTTTGGAATCTCTTCCGCCTGCTAGATCTTCACAACGGTAATGCAGGAGGTTATGGCGGAGTTTAGGACGAGAGGAACTATGATATTTTTCTACATCGATGATAGTTTAGCAACGGATGTTCACTTCACTAGATGTCTATGGAATTCTTGTCTCATTTCAATTATCTTTCTGAAACTGGGTTTTTTCCTAAGTTTGAGCAAGTGCCAAGTGTTTCCCTCACTGACAAACCGCTTCCTTCGTTTCATTATTGACTCACATGAGAAGAGAGTAAAAGTACCGAAAGACAAGGTGCGAAGACTCTCATTCCTCCTTGAACTTTGCAAAGAAGAATCTTCACTATCCTCCAGAAAAATAGCCTCACTGGCAGGAAAACTGGTCTCTTTGGCAAGAGTCTTTTTGCCAGCAACCTTGTACTGCTCTAATTTTCCCTCTGCTCTGGAAAACTGTTCATGGAATGAGAAGGTGAAGTTATCTAGGCAATTCAAGCAGGATCTACTCTGGTGGCTCTCCCACCTGCCCATCCTACCAGGACGCAAATTGGGAATTAGGCTTAGCCTCGGTGAGGATCCAAACTTACGCCTCTGACTCAGCAGTAGGAGCGATTTTTCAGCTAAGCTCAGGCCAGTCCTGGAAGGCTAGTTTTCCCCTCTCACCAGATTTTCTAACCAGGTCTAGTACGCACAGGGAACTGTTCGCTGTGACAGAAGCAATTCTGCTACTTCTAAAGCATGCCCCGCAGGAACTGGAATCTTCAGCTTTGGAATGTGTCGGTGACAACCAGACTGTCTTCTATCTTTTGTTGAAACTAAGATCATCGGATGTTATCTTTAACCAACTTCTGAGGAAGATTGCGGAGATCCTGATCACTAAGGACTGCCAGCTAAAGCCGGTATGGGTCCCTAGAGAACTGAATGAGGAGGCAGATCTGCTGTCAAAAGTTGTGGACTATGCGGACTGGGGGCTAAGCAAGGAGAAGGTGGAGGAACTTTTCAAGAATTTTGGGGAACCATCCATTGACCTGTTTGCCTCAGAAGAAACTTATGTTTGTAAACCTTTTATCTCTCAGTTTCTCTCACCCAACTGTTTTATGGTGGATGCCTTGTCAGTGGAGTGGTTGTCATTGCCAAACTCACCCTACAGGTGGGTTTTCCCTCCGACCTGCCTCATTTAGCAGGTTGTGGCAAGGATCAGGAAGTTTGGAGGAGATTACCTCCTTATTGTACCAAAATCAAGGAAGGCGAATTGGTACCCAGCAGTCAGAAGGCTCAGCATTTCAAGGCAGGAGAACCTGGGGAAGCATCCCAGCACATGCTTCCCCTCAAGAAGGGTTCCGGCAGGTGCTTTCAACCCTGCGAAGTCTAGACTCACGGCTTTAAGATTGTCCGCACCTAACTAATCACCGACACCCGTACCCATATCGCATGAAGGAAGAAAATGTCTTCCAGGTACCTTGGCCCAGCATTCGCTCAAGCGGCCAACCGGACCGAATGCCGTCCCTAACTCCCCCGACTCTAAAACTCTGGCTACTCTCGCCTGCATAAATGCCCAGGCTTTGCAAGCATTCGCGCAGTCTTTTGTTGATCCCGCTCAATGTCAAACTCTCCTTAGTTGTAGTACTCCTGAATAGAAGCCCACCGTTGCGAAGGTCTATTGGTGGCCTCAATTTACTATAACTCTCCCGCATCTCTTCAACCAATTCCAGGAGGGTAGTACCAGTCTGACCTTGCTCGTGTAACTTTATCAAACCCTGCCGCCCTTTTCGCAGTGTTTTGGTGTAAGCCGGCTGTACCTGTTGAACCTCCTCGTCCACCTCTTTACCTTGTAACCTTAATCCTTCCCCCACACGCTGCCATCTCTCCCACAAATAGGTCATTATGCATAAATCGCGCAAGGTTTCAGCCCGGCGATAACCGCTTTGCTCGTTCATCCTCCATCGTAATCCTGCATGTATCATCTGCATTTTCTCCCTAGTCATAGGAGGAGCTTGCTCTTCTGTAATCCCGATCTTCAAGGCATAACTGCGGTATGCTCTTCGGTAGTCCTTCACCTTGCTGCTTGTGCAAGGATTTCTGGAACCCTCTCGACCAAGTATCTGGAAGCAACGACTCAAGCAGCTGATACTCGAATCTAAGGTACTGCAGGCAGGAAAAGGTCGGCCATTTTTGTCAAAGGTCCGGCACCTGCTGCTAAGCTCGGGGAGCCACTGTCCTTGCAGGAAAGCTAGAACATCCAGGTCATTGCAATCGTGTATACTTCGCCCAACGCAATTGCGGTGAAGCCAATCATTCAAGGATCTAAGCATGCGACCCCGTTCCTTTTCACTGTTCTTTGAGAGACCGTATTCTGCAATCAGCTCCATAGAATCAATCAGACCCTGATTGTATTCCCCTTCATGCTGAATTCTTGGTTGAGTCTCTGCAGCAGCAAGGCTTCGCTTCAGCATTCTCTCCAGCCACCATCTCCTGTACACAAATGATCATCTCATTTGGTAAATGAAGGTGGGGAAGATGGGTTGGATAGGAGGTGCATTGGTGGGTGCCCCAGGTTTTTTCCCAATTTTTAGGAAGGTTTCATCACCTGAGGAACTATGGTCATTTGAACTTAATTATTGCAATCTCTGACTTTTGCAGTCTATTTCCTGTTCACTCTTTAGTTCATGTTACCCCTCTTTGGAAGTTGTTATGTTCTGTTGCAGGTACCCCTATGGGGAGAACCCCTCTGAGAAATCTGACTGATGGGTACGCCCACCGAATGCACATAGAAGGCCTAGATCCTTTTTTCTTATTGGCTCTGCAAGGCAAGCTCATCTTGGCAGCTAAGATGACGGACTGATTTTTCTGGAAGCCGAGATTCAGGAAGGATCGGTCAGGTTTATCAGCATACTCACCCGGGATCCTGCGACATATGGTCACTCGGTCGGCAATTGGTAGGGAGACCTTCATCTGATGCAAGGCCCGTGGTGTTGAAGGCAGGAGGACCGTTGGATGCATCAGCACTTGACTCTGGGCCCATGATTTTGAAAGGAAGGCCCCCCAGGGGCCCGCAATGGCTAACCAGATTGGGAGAAAAGGGGACCCCTCCTTGAACCCCCAATGAATGGAAGGGTGGACTTAATGCTGGGCGCACAGTTCCGGAAGAGAGCAGGGCCTGATAAACTTCTGGGTGGTGAACCGAGGCACCCTCCTCAGCAAACGGCGGTAATATTTTTAAGGGAAACTTTGCCATTTCGGGTATCCTTTCTTCTTTCGGATTTTCGCAACGTTCCGCCTCGTCGCCGCCGCCGCCGCCTGGAGCCGAGTTCCTGCAGGGACAACCGTGCTTGGTGAGACCTTCCGTAGCTCGTCGCTTTGAGCAGCGAAAATCCGGGCCCGCCCGCCCGTGCCCGCGGTGCATTGGTGGGTGCCCCAGTTTTTTTCCCAATTTTTAGGAAGGTTTCATCACCTGAGGAACTATGGTCATCTGAACTTAATTATTGCAATCTCTGACTTTTGGAGTCTATTTCCTGTTCACTCTTTAGTTCATGTTACCCCTCTTTGAAAGTTGTTATGTTCTGTTGCAGGTACCCCTATGGGGAGAACCCCTCTGACTCATCTGACTGATGGGTACGCCCACCGAATGCACACTGCAAGGCACCAGTACATGGGCAACTGGGCCGCGGGCCTGACACCTCAAATTCTGGAGGTGCGAAACGAAACTGCGACCGCCGTTCTAATTTATCAAGGGCGGGACCGACGTTTGACGTTTCGGCCTCATTTTCTTGTGGCTCCAAGTTTTGGACTGCAAGGCTGCCGGGGGCTCACACACACACACACAAGTACCCCGGGGGCTCACACACACACAAACACACATCCATGCAATCAATGACATGCAGACAGGTAAACACACTGAAACTCAGCAATAGTGCACACACAAGTACTTCGAAATTTTAGCAGAACACGGAAACCTCAGCAAGTCACTCAGTCAACTGGCAAAACTCAGAAAGCATCAGTTTTTCAGTCTGTGATCAT